GATAAACGTTGAGGGCCATGCATTCGATATATCATATAAATGGTATTTTTTTTTGGACCGTTGAGTTTTGGCTCAACCCCAAAAATCAAATCTCCCCCCATTATTCTCTTTTCAAAGACCAATCTATATAATTTCGAAAACATAACACAAGCGGGAAAAAAAATGTAATCAAAGGAAAAAATGACACGTGGGCATGAGATTAATGCGATATGTTTCGAAAAAGGTTTTCGGGTTTATGGGGTTTGGGAAAGGAGACAGTGCATGTGCAAACGAGGGGTTGTCGTGATGGAACATCATCAACCCTCTCAAAGACGTGGGGCTTCTCTGTTACTATTGACTTTTCTTTTTCATTTTCCCACTTTTTTCCGATTCGTGCATGCATATGCATATACATATACATATATGTATATGTATACGTATATGTATATGTATATGTATATACACTCGCCTTGTTTTTTGTATACATATATATATATAAATCAATGCCAATCACATCAAAAAAATTTATGTGCATGATGATTGGCGTACGAAATGCATTGTGCCAAGCTCTTTGGATTCAACTAATTTTGGTGATTGTCAAATGAATGATTATCCGTTACGGGTAAAAAATTAAGACCTTAGTTATACATGAAATTTATTTCTGTAAGATTCGAGTTTAAATGCTGATTATTGCTTAAAATTTAATCTTGAATATAAAAGTTTTTTTTTATTTTCTCCATGTCTATGAAATTTTTGCAACTTTTGTTCCTAAACAACAACCTTTTTTTCATAATCTTAATTAAGAGTAAACCACCTAAATAATAAAATTTAACAATATCTTTCGTTAATTGTAGTTGTGAAAATTAAATTTTACTGCATTCGTTTGGAGCTTTCAAAATTTCAGATAAGACCTCGATTGGAAATGTGGATCTTGAAAATATATGTAAATTCAAATCTTGGAAGAATAAGGAAGTACATAATTATTTTTTTGAAAAATACATACATTATGAATAATTCGATTGTTATAATACTCACTAACATAATAACATTAGTAAATTATTGTTAGTATTTTTTCTGTATTTCTAACAAAACAAACTGTCTTCTATTCTATTTAAAAAAAAAATTATTAGTAAATACATTTTTTTTTAAAAAAGAGCTAAGCGTTTAGACTGGGAAATGAATATCAATGTTTTCTTGTGTAGAAATGGGCTATTTTCAATTGGGCTAACACATTGATTTATTATTGTATAATGGGCTCTAATTTAATTGGGCTAAATCTGGCCCCTAATACTACAATTACTTAAATGGGCCCCATACAAGAAAACTGCCACGGATGCAAAAAAAAAAAATTACATATATTTTGCCGTATATGCGAAAACGAACGGGAAAAAAAAATATTTAAGTTGTACCCGTAAGCAGAGGTGGCCATTTCCATTTGAAAATTTTGTTATGACTTTGGTACGAATCGAAATCGAATTAAATCGAATAGGGTAAAACCTCTAAAAAACCTCACACTTGCAAAAATATATACAAATAAATCTTCAAATTGAAAAACTGTGTTTTAATAAACCTTTGACCGGTTTGACCACAATTTCAAACAATCGGAAATCCACGTATTGACGGACTGGTGATGTCATTTTTTAAATTAAAATTGATAACGTATATAAGGTGACATCAGCAATCCGTTAATATGTGGATTTATGATCGCCTGAAATTGTGGTCAAACCGATCAAAGGTTTATTAGAGTAATAATTTGCAAGTTCGAGGTTTTATTCAGTGACAAGTTACAAGTTCGGGGATTGAATGATAGTTTTTCAAGTTGAAGGTATATTTGTATATATTTTTGCAAGTTGGAGGTTTTTTAGGAGTTTTACCCAACTGAATAATATTCTGTTCTAATTTGATTTTTTTTATATAGAATTAAATATATGGTCACTGAATCAAACGGTACAAATATCAAATGAATAGAATATAAAATAGACGGGTCGGATCGGATTTAGTTCGAGCCTATATTTTCCCAGGTCGGTTCAGACTATCTATGTATTATTCGGACCTATGATCGGTGGTCCGTATTCCGGTCCTATAAGACGATTCAGAACTAGATTTTGGATTTTTTTATTTAATAAAAAATAAATATTAGTGTATAATAATAATAATAATAATAATAATAATAATAATAATAATATTGAGTTATTTAGCAATTTGTTTTCGTAAAAATAAAAAATAACAAATTTTTATTTGTATCAATTATAATTA